CACCTGGAAACTACAGTTTTACTACTCACTAACACCCAAGGTGTCAGGTAGGATTAGAAGATCATGATTCTCCTAGGTATCTGGCTTACTGTGACCATAGCGGCCTGCTTGCTTACCTATGGATAAGGGCTCTCTCCCAGCTTTGTCCTCTGGGATCTCTGATTTCCACTTGCCTTGGATATTTAAGGATCATGGTTCTACTTTGCCCATTTTAGTTACTGTTTCATGTGCATTTTCTGCTTGGTGTTGAGGTTGGCCTTGGTCATCCTTAGCGCCATTGTTTGTGGGCCAGCACCAAATCACTCCTGGACTTACCTAGCCTGTGTCTGGCAACCCAGACTCTTGTTTGTCTAGGAGGGGAGTTCAGACACTCAATACCTGGAACAAAATTATGTCACTTTATCATAATTTTCTTCCTGTGGCTGTGGCTATGGCTGGAATATTGTCCCTGGCCTGAAGTGCCATTCCTTGTCTGGGGTCCACCTTCAACCCTGAATCATTTCTCACACAATTGAGCTCTCTAAGGTCCAGGGAACACAAGGGGTGTGGTCTCTACCCTCCTGTGCTAGATAACAGTCACTGCCAGCCAGACATGAGGATGAAACTCATGCTGCCAGGCACTTACCAGACCCTTCCAGTTACAGGGAAGCCAGCTGTTTCTTAGGACTACAAAGTACCATGGTTCAATCTGGCAAGAGATGGCCTACAAAACCAGCCAAAGGCTCCATCAGGGTGTGTGTGGATGCACTGCCATGGTATGAAGCCTTGAAATAGAATGCAAATTAGGGCCACAAGTATAGCCCTGGGAAGACCTCCTGAAAACTTTGCATTCTAATTCTAAACTGCCTTTCTACATCACTTCCCTTTCATCTCCTTGGGCTGTCCCATTTTTGTGTGGATATAGTAGATTATTTGCTTTATCATATAATACACTTTTCTGACTCTGGGCCTTGGAAGCTCTGTTCCCCTTGCTAACATGCCATCCCTGCCCCTCCTTCAGAAATCAAAAGCCTACCCATCTTCAAAGCTCAAGTCCATTGTTTTTTCTTTTGTACAGCTCTTTCTAAGTTCAGCAGATTTTTTTCTCCTTCCTTTGAGTTTACTTATAATAGAGCATTTGTCATATAGGAAAATTATTTGTTGATATATTTTGTTTTCTACCTCCAAAGTTAGGTTCCCTAGGGCAGAGGCCATGTCTGGAACATAGTAAGAATAGGTAAATATTTGGGAACATGAAAGATGAATGAATAGATGTACTTGCGTGAAACTAGTCCACACGTTTGTTCACAGAACTGTCTTGGGCAATACTCAGAATTATTTGAAAGGCAACAAAAGTGTCCCAATTTGTTGGTAGGAGGAGAAAAGCAAATGTTACATCCGCATGACTAAATGAAAAGCATAATCTGGATCTTCATAGGAAAGGAGGGCATTTCTTTGATTAAACACATCAATGGGCAGAAGGCCTGAAATCATGGATAAGAGTTTTATTTTCCTGAAAACTTGAATCAAGAAGCATTAAAAGGACTACAGCATGATGGGTATGATCCTTGAAGTGGATGATTCCTGATGCGGGGTTGAAAGTTTGGCATGAGAAGAGAGTGGAAAATGGGTTGTTGGAGGGTTCCCCACTGGGAATTGCTTGGGCTTTGGAAAAGCTAGTGGAAAAAAATTGGTCCAGAAATGTTGTTTTGGGCTGTCAGGGACAGCAGAGATGGAAGGGAGATATTTTTCATCCCCTTGTGTTGAATGGAGTTGAATCGTGCCTCATCTAGGAAACACTGATAAATTGCCACTAGATGACACTGTTTCCTCATTAGGCAAATACAACTTGTCAATCAGGAGTCCCCTGTCACATAGGCCAGAGCGCTGACCTTGGCTGGGATCTGGTTCCAGCTCTGCCCCTCACTGAACCCAGGCCGGGAAGGAGCAGCCTCTGAGTCTGGGGGAGGCCTCCCTTGTCAGTAAAGAAATCCTGGACTGGGTGATTTCTGAAGCCTCGGCAATTACTTTTTAAAGCTTTATTTTTTTTTAAAAAAATACAAACCTTGGAGATGCCTCTTATGTAAACATAATCTTTTACAAACATATCAGTTTTTATTTAACTAAATCTCATTCAGATACCTGAACGCTGTAAACGATCTGGGGCAAAAGCGAATGAACAATGGCGCACCTGTGTACCGTGGTGCCTGGGACTGGACCGAGCAACATTGCTCATGTGAAGTCTCACTCATGTACTCGAATCATGGTAAAGCTGGAGAGAACCTTAGAGGCTGTACACGTCTGTCCTTTACTTTTCAAATAGAACATCTAAGCGTAAGCTGCTCAAGGCGGGTGGGAATCACGTTTCCCCACTGTCACGCCTTTTCAGAGGCCGTAGTTCTAGAACAATGTCCCTGGGCTCCAGCTTAGCTCTGCACTGCATTTGTTTATGCAGGCTATTGGATATGACACACGAGCTCTGTTAAAACCTACAGGATCGCTGAGGAAATGAATGGCACAGAACTCCTAGCTATTGTGTTTGAGCTACTTCCCTTGCCTGCTCTGTAAACACAGTGCTTCTCTCTCTGTTGGCTTCAGATGTTTTCATTAAGATGGGAGTGAAAATCCAAGGTAAGAATATGGTGGTGGATCAAATGCTGTAACTGTGTCCATCCCTCCCCTTCCTCCAACCCAGAGGAAGTATCCAGCGCCATGTCTTAGTGGAGCCTGGATCATTCTAACACACAGAAGGGCTCACTGCTTTTTCTGGTGAGCCCTGAAGGTCATTTGTCAGTTGCTTCTTACAGCAAATGTAACAAAAATGTATCCCTTGTAAACAAAATAGCACACCCTTAGCCAACATGCCGCTGTTAAAACATTATCCCAGTAGGATAAGCGAGTTGCTGTTAAAGAGAAATGGCAAAATAGGGGAAAAAGAAACAAGGTTTGAAAACCTAAATGTATGTTTATATCTCAGAAGTGTGGCAATATATATTGCTATCTGAAAAAAGATGATAGACTTCAATTTTGTTCTTTTACTTTTCCGTATACCTGAATGAAGACAGTTTTTAGTAAATATTTAAGTTCTCTTCCTTTAAGAGGAAAGACAATCCCTGATGAACTAATGACCTCCCAGTGACCCAGCAAGTCCTCTCACTAGATCAGTTCAGCCCTAGTGTTCATAGCTAACAAGGTTTCATTAGGGCTTAAAAGAAATTGTCTTTTGCTTCCAAACATGAGTTGAGCTCTGATCAGGCCTCAGCAGGGAACAGATTTCCCTTTTTTATCTTTTTGCTTCCCTGGTGTGTAATCTTGCCTTTTGAAATAGTTGTAATCAGAACAAATTACCTAAAGAGTGGGGACTGAAAAGATTTCACAGTCGTTGTGGGTATTTTTTAGTTTTCTTTAACAATTGGTACCTTCGCTTAGTAATTGAAAATGATCCAAGAAATCTGGATGTAGCTGGCAATGCTTTTCTAAGTGTGTGAGCTCGAGAGAGCTCTTAAGGTGACAGCGATTGTTCCAGCCAGAGCTCAGGAACTCCAGAAAACCAGCAGCCTGTCTTGTTGCCCAGCTCTCTCCACTGACAGGGACCGTGGGGAGGGTTTAGGACAATTGCTGCTTTGATTGGAATAGAATCAGAGCCTAGAAGAGGAGAGAGAGTTTTGTGGCTGATCTTCAGCTCACATTCCAGATACAAAGTTTAGTTGGTTAGTGTGTCCCTCAGAGTCTCAGGAAGAAGATAAAGAAGGGTGCTACTCAGAATTCGCATTTGGATGTGTTTGTTGATACCCCAATCCCACTAAGATGTGGGTCATTATCAAAAAGGCAGCTTCACTGAGCCTCTGAAACACAGTGGGTGATCTTCACCGGGTGTTTTATTCATCACACCCTAACCCTCCCATGAGTGTTAGAAAACGTGTTTGCTTCCTGAGGCTCAAGGAAATGAAGAATGTGTCTGAGTACATGAGGACTGAGCAGGTGTTTGTACCTCTGAGAGGGGAGATTGCAGAGTTGGAGTGGGGGGTTAGGACACTCTTTTGGGAGGTTGATTAGAGTAAACACTTGTCATTTAAGGCGTCATTTCTGGAGTTTTATACTTGATGAGTTAGGAATGTGCAGAAATAGGAACAGCCAGCTATTTGAGAGGGTGCCTCATAGGAAAAGCAGTGCTACCCTCAGAGGGTTTAACTCTTAAGGCCATAAGAAGAATGCTCGGAGCTGGGTGTCAAGGCAAGGTCCATGGAAAAGAAGCTATGTCACTGATGGAAAGTCAAGCGGAGAATAGCTAACATCTAGTGCCTTGAACTTAATACCATTGATTGAATGAATAAGTGAGCAGAGGTTGGAAGGATCCTCACTAGGATCTAGGACTTTCTAAACCTCATGCTATCTAAGACAAAAGTGTTTGTGGAATGGGCCATATGTGCAAAATCCAGGGAAATTCAAGAGGTGATAAAGGCTCTGCTGTGTGTAGTGGTAGGGATTTAAACAAACAAACAAACAAAAAAACCATTTTTGATAGCAATTCAAAGAAATGAATATCCAATCAGCACTTTCTAATGGGTGAGCACATGAGTTCCTAAGCAAAATGACTATAACAACCTGAAATGTAGGTATGTCTAAGTGGGAATCAGCGCAGGTCAGCTCTGCAGATGCATTTAACCAAAAGAAGGTGTTAGAGGATGGGAGACTATAGGACCTGAGGCACAACTGTTAGTCTTCAGTGGCTGAGAAACTGGGTGCCTGCCAGCCAGCCAGTCATTAGGACACTGAGTGTAGGGTATGAGCTCAGGTCTTGGTGACTGTGAACTCCAAGGTCAGAGCAGGACCAATTTTATCAAGACCAAGTTCAAGTTAAGGCCCAATGACCTCTTTTCTCTCTTGGAACAATGCATAAAGTCTATATACTCACTGGGTTGCTTTAATGCTGAGTGATTCAAATATTCATTTCTGTCTTCTTTAGTGAAGCCAGATTTTTCATGTGCTCAGCCAAAAGCTATTGAAAAATCAGGACACTAGCCAGGTTCAGAGTCATTTCTAAAAAACAAGACAGAGTAGAAAAATTATGAGACTGCTCCTTGAACATAAAAACAAGTAACATTTCCAACTTAAGTTCAAATCCAGCATCATAAAAAAGAAGTATAATTGTAAATTTTAACAGCTGTAACTGAACTACATTTTGTGTGGATTTGTAAAGCAGCCTGCGCAGAAAGAGAGATTATGAATCATCAGCATGTCTGTGTCAGACTATGTGTCAGCACATCAATTTCTAAAATTGATCTTGAATGTATTCATGTCAGTCATCTCAAGATGCGTCTGATATGAGTCTTGTGCTATATTGTAGGGTTATTTGGGGGATTCTAACTAGGGGATCCTCTTGAGCAGATCACTGAGAAATCCTCTTCTATTTGCCACGATTAAAAAGCAGTTAATGTTTGGTTGGGTCCTAGTCGTGGAGATGAAGAAGAATGGTGAGGAGACTGTTTTGGACAACTATGCTGAACAACAACTTGAATTTGACCTGTATTTCACCCTCCTTATATTTCTTCAGAGAAAATAATAGTGGCAGATTATTGACCACTATTGAAGCTTGGTGGTAAGGACAAGGAGATCATTATATTACTTTTAATTTTGTTTACAAATTTTTGTAATGAAAGTTAGAATACTTCTCAAAAGTAGCTTCTAGGAAACTTTTTTGATTTAAATAAAAAAAACAATTTAAGGAATTCTTGTATTCTTATTTATTTTCTTAATGGAAAACCAACTAAAAAGAGGTAAAAAGACATATTCCATTACATATGCCTATTATTATTATTTTTTTAAAATATATTTTATTGATTGTTTACAGAGAGGAAGAGAGAGGGATAGAGAGTTAGAAACATCGATGAGAGAGAAACATCGACCAGCTGCCTCCTGCACATCTCCTACTGGGGGTGTGCCCGCAACCAATGTACATGCCCTTGACTGGAATCGAACCCGGGACCCTTCAGTCCGCAGGCCGACGCTCTATCCACTGAGCCAAACCGGTTTCGGCGTTATGCCTATTATTTTATACATTCATATAGACTTATTATTTATATTTCTAATGTGTGAGAGAAAGTGAACAAATGGGTGTTTTCCCTAGACTGTATATTTCTTCCTACCACACTAATAGTCTGAAAAAACCCATTACGATATGGACAATAGACAACTAGTGTGTCCCTCACAGTCTCGGGAAGAAGTTAAAGAAGGGTGCTACTCAGAATCCACTTTTTGGGATAGGCTTAGGAAATGACTCCTGATTGAATCTGCACATGCAAATGCACACAGTTGCCTTGCATTGTATTGGCTATCTTCATGCAGGAAAACTCCAATGAGCATTGATTCCAGCCCCAAGGTACACTTTGAAATATTCAGTGCAGTGAGATTTCTGGACAACTCATATTCAAGAGGAAATGCCTGTGGTATAGCTACAAATATACAATCTTCATTTTAATAATTAGGAATAGCCTATAAGTTACAAACCACAATCTGACATGTCTGGTTATGTATTTTAAAGACCTGTGTAAAAACTCATTAAGGGTGGTAGTAGTGTGTGTGTGTGTTTGTGTGTGTGTGTGTGTGTGTGTGTGTATGTGTATTTGATTAACTTTTTTTGGTGCAGAAAAGACAAGGAGAACCAAATTGGTTATATTTCATAAAATATTAAGTAAAACTCTAGAACATTGATTTATTAATTTAATAAACTCATTCAGTGAAGAAATATTTATGAAGTGCGTTTATGAGTCAGGCACTGTGATAGGTGCTGCAAATATTATAAAGAGCGAATCCATGTGGCCACTGTCTTCATGGGCCTTCCAGACTAGAAAAGGAGCAAACATTAATCAGTGTAATTACAGGGAGCTTTGAAAGTGTGTGATGTCATCTCCATGTAGCTGGGGATCAGGGAAGACACCCTGGAGGAGATGATATTTGAACCAGTCTTTGAAGGGTAAGAAGAGTACCAGATTCAGGGAAAGGACAAGAGAAAACCCTGATTTTAGAGATGAGCATGGCACTTTGGAAGTACTGAGGGGCCAGGGTAGCTGGAGTGTAAAAGTCAGAGTGAGACTGGTGAGCAATGAAACTAGAGAGGTAAGCTTAGCCTCAATCCTGCAGGGCCCTGTATGTCATGGAAAGAATTTGGTCTTTATCTTAATTTAAGAGCAATTGGAAAGTCTATTAAGGGTTCTAAGCCTGGGGATAACATGATCTGATTTACACTTTTAAGGAAATCACTTTGACTGGAGTCTGGGAAGTGGATTAGAGTAGGGCAAGAGTGCCTACAGCCTCTTGGCTATAAATTGAGAAAGCAGTGGTGAGTAGACTATTTTCTCATCCTATTCAAAATCACAAACTGTGGGGAGGCAGACTTGAAAACAGATGATGATACAATGTGATGAGCTTCATATGAAAGGTTAGTAAAAGACATTATGTGAGCACAGCAGAGGAGGCAAATAATTTTGACATGGAGGATCAGAGGAAGCTGTACCAGGAGGTAGCAATTGATCTGGGCCCTGAAGAATGAGTAAGAGCCAAAGAGGAGATTCAAAATTATTCCAACAAGAAGAAATAGCAAGAGCAAATTTAAACGTAGTTAGAAATGCCCTGGGCTATTCGGAATGGTAGGTAGCCCGATATGCCTGCCTCATTGCTAGTCACCGCACCGCCTCCAGCCCAGATCAGATGCTTTTGGATAGCTGCCTCTAATACCTTTAATCACACCGGGGCCAGGAATCCTTCAATACCCCCAGCTTTTTAATGTGCCTTACTGTCCTAGTGTCCTCAATTGCTGAAACTATGACCATCATTAGAATCATTTCTTGGTTATAAACCCTCAATTCCCCTGCCCTTCTCTAACTTTGTCTTAAAAGCCCAATAATCCCAACACTAATTTGCTCCTACTCCACCCTACACTTGAGCAGCTGCCTTTGGCTGGAGAAAAACTCATGTTCCCCAGATTCTGTTATCATAGGGGACCACCAGACTCAGATATCTCAGTGTATCCAGGCTGTCCTACTACATTTTTCTAATTCATTCACTCCCCTACACTCGTAAAAGTTCATTTTACTCCTTCTATTCTGTCCTTAAAATAGAAAACCTTCATCCTCACTCTCAGTTGGTGACTAGCTTCTTGTTTCAATGGGAAAATAGAAGCAATCAGAAGAGACTTCCACATTCTACGTCTGAGCCCATAGACTCTCTTCCTTCTTCCTACTATGGATGAACTGTCAACCTTGCTCCTATCAAAAGCTAGCTCCCTTCAATATGCACACTTCCCCACCCCCCCACCCCCAACTGCCCTATCAAGGATATGGATCCAGCAATTTTTCTCTTCCTTTCCTTCATCATAACTTCCCCCTCTCCATGGAATCATCTCCATCAACATGAAATATATTGTAATATCTCCCATCTTGAAACAAACCAACTCTCTCTTGACCCCATACCCCTACATAGTGCCCCATTACTCTACTCCCATTTACAACAAAATTTCACTAAAGGTTTATGTTTTTTGGCAATTCTAGTTTCTCTTATGTCCCTTCTTTCTTAAACCCAATCACTTCCCTGAAATTGTCTTATCATCACCAACCAAAATCTGCACATTGCCATATAAAGATCCTTGATGTTCCTTGGACAGAGCAGGTAGGCTCCCTTCTTAAAACCCTTGCAATCACTATTTCTTCTTTCTCCAAAGTTTTTCTCAAGAGCTTCACTTGCTTTCAGGCTCTGCTCATGTCACTTTATCAGTGAGGTCTTTCTTAACCACAGTGTTTATATCAACAACTCTTTACCTGCTGTATTCCTCACTCCCCATCTGAGCATTGTTTTTCTCAATAGTGCTATGGCCACCTGACATACTGTATTAGTGAGGTTAATGATAGAACCTGTAAATATTAGTCCCAACATTTCTGTAGTTTAACACATTTCAGGTACAGTATATCACACATTTCCTTAACAGTTGAATGCTACTGTTCCTGGTTGGTGGGTGGTTTTCCTTCACCTGGGGTTCAGGTGTTGAGATTCTTCCATTCTGAGACTCTGCCTTCAGGGTCTCAGGGTCTTCCCTATTAAGCAGACAACAGGGGAAGAATAAATGGAGAAGGCACACCAGGTTCTTTCTGGAAGAGATGAGCATCACTTCTGCTCACATTGCATTCAAGAGTTAGTCATGTGGACACAGCTGAATGCGAGGGAGGCCAGGAAATGTAGTCCCTATTGGGCCATTGCCTGCCAGAGACAACTCAACTCTGGGAATGTTGGTGGACAGAAGGCCATCTCTGCCACACACAACATACATTTACTTGTTTAATGATAGTGTGTCTTTATTAGAATGCAAGCTCCATGGAAAATGATCTTTTTGTCTCTATCCCATTTGGAACTCCTGGACATAGAGTGGTTCCTGCTTCCCTGGTCAACCCCCAGTGAGTATTCGCTTTATTTATTTTTAAAAGACCATGGATTGGAGGAAGGAAGGGGCTATTGTCAGTGTGGGAGTGGAGTCTAAAAAGATAGTCAGACAGTAAAAGACCATGGTTGTATACATGGTAGCCAGGATGAACCTGGGCTTCCCTAAAGCATGAACATGCCCAGATCACAGGAAACTGACCAGAACCAAAGCATTTGGCCCCATTTTTTCCATGAAACTATTTGGACAGTAGTTGCACACCAGGAATTTCTCTGTTGCCATCCTGTGGCTTTGTAGATAAGCGCAGTGAATCAGCCAGAACCCAAAAATGTAATTCTGTTTGATTTAACTGCTCTTGTATACACATGGCCTATATCCTCCATGGAAAAGTTTTACTTGGTTCAGTGGACTGCGTGTTAAATCTGTGGCATAATTCCAAATTATTTCTTTGGCTTTTTCCTCTACGTGTTCTCCTAATTTAGGCTTGATCTGTTATTGCACAGGTACATGTAAAGCATGAAATACCATCAATGCACTTTGGGTTGATGTTGTGGGGGTGACTTTAGACCTTAACCCAAGCTCTGACGCTCCTATTCAACCCTCCCTCCCCTCACCCTACCCCAGTGCCACCATTGAGACTTAACAGTGAATTGGGTGGACTGTGTTTTTGATTTAGGAATTCATGTTGGGTTTTTTTGAAATATAGTATGTCTGTGATATTTCAAACTAAGAGAAGATACATATGTATATTTGGCCAACATGTTGTCAAACATTCAGATGTTTGGAAAAGTTACATAATTGACTGAATACTAGTTATATTGACATAGTCCCCCTATACTTGTAGGTATTTTTAATTGGTCACATACCTTATCTTTGCATCATAAAAATCACCCATAAGATGCACCCTCCAAAATAGGTTATGTAATGGGAATGATCAAAATATGCATAAAATATCAAACCAATATCAGTTGGTTTTACATCTTTTATTAAATACTGGAAGGTATGCTTATTATTTGCAGAGAAATCAATCCAATGGACTTGTTAACTAAAATAATGGGTGTGTGGTTGCAAGGATGCCACACAGAGCTGAGAAAGAGAGAGAGAGAGAGAGAGAGAGAGAGAGAGAGAGAGAGAGAGAGATATTAGCAAATATCTGACAAACCCCTCAAGCTTTTGCTGTGGAGTACTATTGTTTGAAAAATCAAGAAATGTTAGGTTCAATTTATTTTATTAAATAGTTTGCATCTTGAGGCAAAATTCTTTCTGAAACACCAACATGGACTTTGATGTTTATCATATAATTCAAGAATAACTATTTCTACACCCCAGAGTAGGAGATGGGAACAGTGTTTAGTCTCCTCATCCCTGAAGCCTGGGAGTGCCAGGACATAACATTGGGATTAAGTGGAATGAAGCTTTGGTTCATGGTAATTTATATTATAAAACCGCCTTGATCATAATTACGGTCATACAAATTAATGTTTTTCTACTAAATAAAAGGGAAAAAGCTTAAGGGTAGCATGTGTGAGGATACCTTTTCCCACTTTTTCTTTTTCTGCTAATATTTTTCTTCTCCAAAACACCAAAAACATTATTTAGATTGAGCAGGCTATTTCTCTGAGTTGATTCATTGTAGGGAAACTTGTATCTCTTAAGATCTATGACTATTAATACATAAACTAATTTATTTATTTGTCCCTCTAATAGAAATGTGAACTAGTAATTGGATCATTCAGATGGGAGGTGTTTCTTATCTGTTGGTTTGCTAGGACCACCATAACAAAGTACCACAAACTGGGTGGTTTAAACAACAGAAATTTAATGTTTCACAGTTCTGGAGACCGGGAGTCTGAGATAAAGGTGTCAGCAGGGCTGGTTACTTCTGAATCCCGTGAGGGAGAATCTGTTTTGTCTCTCCCCTTGTTTCTGGTGATTTTGCTGGCAATCTTTGGCATTTTCTTGGCTTATAGGATCATCCAGATTTCTGCCTTTTCTTCATATGATATTGTCTGTATGTGCATGTGTGTCCAATCTTCTCCTTCTTATAAGGACACTAGTCATATTTGATTAAAAGCTCACCCTACTCCACTGTGACTTCAACTAATTAATCTGCAACAACCCTATTTCCAAGTAAAGTCACTTCTGAAGTACTGGGGTTAGGACATCCACATATGTGTTTTGTAAAGAAACAATTCATCCCTTAACAGCCAACCAGTAATCCTAGAGAAAGGAGAATAGTGGGGAAATCTGGTAAGTGATATGTGTGTATATATATATCTACACACACACACACACACACTGAGTGGCCAGATTATTATGAGCACCTGACGTTTGTAGGCAAATTAGCAATAATTTCATGCTGAAGTTGCTAGAGGGCCAGACCATTATAAATAGGGAAGCAGGTTGTTTACCATGACAGTAGAAGTGATTTTTTTCTGAAGATATGGGTAAACAATGCGATTTAACAGCCTTTGAACATGGGATATATATATATTTTTTTTTTTTCTTCATCATCTTTCACTTTATTTTTATTGTTGACACTATTACAGATGTTCCCACCCCCCACCTTTGATATTTATATTCTTTTTTTTCTTTTTCTAGACTCTTTTAATATTTTTTACAAGCCAGTAAGCTGCTACAGATGCAATTAAAAAGTAGACACATTTAAAAAAAGGAGATGAGAAATAGCAAAGACCTATTAATGTTTCCCCACCAATATCCCATTGCTAGCTCTCCATGTCCTGAGGAGTTCTCTCCATTATTGTGTGGGGGACCAGATAGCATTTAGGTACTGCTGAGATCAAAGTCTACAGATCCGGTTCTAGACTTGAGTGGGGGTTCATCACTCTTATCCTCTTCTAGGCTGTGCTGGATTCCATAGCCGAAATAGATTGCAAACCCAATCACCATCCAGACCCCAAATCGGGCCCAGGTGCCAGATGTCATCTGCATCATAAGGTAAACATTCACAAAGATGCTCATTAGTGGGAGGAGAGGCAAAGCAGGTACCTTAAAGTGAAGGGGAGCAGAGCTCTGTGGCTGTCTCCAGATGACCCCAGTGAACCCAGTAATGAGCATCAGGAGCAACACAACCACTGCAATCCACATTGGATCTCCAGAAAGCAGTGGAATTGACCACTGGGCCAGCACCAGGCAAAGGACACTTAGGAGCAGAGCAAGTAGTGAGGAACAAACATAGACAACTTGGCCAGAGAGTGGAGTGGGGCTGAGGTTGTGTGGACAAAATAGTACCTGTAAGGTCAGCTTTTCTATTTCAGGCATAGTCTCCTCCTGCAATGCCAGTTCATCTTCCTCAGTCCTCATCTCCTGGCCAGGCTGATATCTGAGGATGAGAACACAAATAGACACCAGGGAGTAAGCAAGCAGGGTCCCAATTGACATGAGGTCCACAAGATCAGCAAGTTCAAAGAGGAATGCCATTAATGCTGCAATAATGCCAGAAACCACAGTGGCTATGATGGGGGTGCGTGTGCCACTGTGGATCCGGGCAAGGACACGGAAGACCAATCCATCCTCCACCATTGCGTAGATCACCCGAGGCATGGGGAACATAGAGCCCAAGAGGCTGGTAGAAAGAGCACAGAGGGATCCAATAGCCACAACATAGCGGGCAGGGGCCCATCCAACATGGAGAAATGCCTCAGGCAAGGGACTCTCAGAGTGAAGCTGATAGTAAGGCATCATTAGCGTGAGTGCCGAAGAGACACCAAAATAGGCCAAAAAGCAGATCAACAGTGAAATCACAATGCCCATGGGGATGGAACGCTGGGGATTCTGGGCCTCTTCCCCAGTGGTAGCAATACAGTCGAAACCAACAAATGCATAGAAACAGGTAGCTGCTCCACAGAGAATCCCCTCGATGCCAAAAGGCCCAAATCCTCCAGAGCCCAGAGGGCCCAACCTATGAGTATCATTGAGTCTGTCCATGGTCAGTTTGTAGTTCTTTTCTGTGAGCTTCCAGTTGTGTACATTCCCCGTAATGAAGCCAGAGATGATGACAAAACCGAGAACCAAAAGGTTCACCACTGTGAACACTTTGGTAACCAAGGCCGACTCACTAGCCCCCAAAGCCAGCAATCCAGTGAGCAACAACACACGGCCCAAAGCAAAGAAATCTGGATATTCTGCGAGGACATGGGGAACATGCAGTGAGATGCTCCCCTGCAGAGCCTGAGAGATGTGGTTCCCAATCAGGTTGTCAAAAGCTGAGCTCCAGGCTCGGGCCACACTGGCTGTACCAATGACATAGGAGAGGATGAGGTTCCAGCCAGTGGTGAAGGCCCAGAGTTCACCCACAGTGACATAGCTGTAGAGATATGCTGAACCAGATCGGGGAACCCGGGCACCAAACTCTGCATAGCACAGCCCGGCCAACACAGAAGATAGAGCGGCCACCAAAAAGCAGATCACAATGGATGGTCCTGCTTTATCTTTGGCCATCTCCCCAGCCAGGACATACACGCCTGCACCCAATGTGCTGCCCACACCCAGGGCCACTAAATCCAGAGTGCTCAGGCACCTGGCAAGGCGAGTCTCAGCCATGCCTGGCTCCAGTGTACGTCTGCGTGCCAGCTTATGACCAAATCTGCGAAGTTTCTGCAATGGCATTGTAGCTGGAATTGAAGAGGTTACTAGGACCAGGGAGCGGTTAGTCTTGAGTAGGCTTCAGCGAGGCTGAGTTAAGCCAAGTTGGCTTGGCGGTGCCTAGTTCTAATGCTCAGGCTTCAAAGCTGCTGCTTCGGTATTTATATTCTTAATACTATATATCCCCACCCAGTTTGGGTTTCCTCGGTGATCCATTTTTACCTAAAAAGATTGAAGAGGACAATTCAAATTTCCCTCCCTCATTGAACTTGATTTCTGTTTGCATCTAAGGAGGATAAAAATATCTACCCCTTATCATATTTAACAGGTATATATGAGAACGAGAAGAAATAAAGAATGTTATAATACTTTGAAAAAATATAATGCATTGTTTCTCCAAGTAGTAGTGTTGTTTTTTGTCAATGATTTCCTAATTAGTTGATTATGAAAATTGCCTTTGTACTTACAAGTATTCCTGGGTTCATCCTCAGAGATTTTGACTCAATAGTTCTGCAGTAGGGCCTAGAAACTAAGTGTTTTTCAGGTAATTCTGGTTAGCCAGGTTTGGGACTATTGGTCTTGGAAAAATTCTACTTTAAGAATGGGCACTGTAGCTTGGCTGGCATGGCTCAGTGGTTGAGTGTCGACCTATGAACCAGTAGGTCACAGTTCGATTTCCCGTCAGGACACATGCCCACATTGTGGGCTCGAGCCCCAGTGGAGGGTATGCTGGAGGCAGCCAATCAATGATTCTCTCTCATCATTGATGTTTCTATCGCTCCCTCTCCCTTCCTCTCTGAAATCAATAAAAAGATTTTAAAAAGTGTTCTTTTTTAAAAAGAATGAGCACTGTCGATAATGTATGTTTAACATTATTATTCACATGAAAGGGAAATACTGATGATGGTTCCAACAATGGCACTATCAATTGATTTTAGGAAGGCAGTATATGTTTAGTGGAAAAGTTCTAGGTTCTATACAGCTTGTAAGTTAGTCAAGTAACTTCTCTGAGCTTCAATTTCATTACCTGTAAAATGAGAATAATAATGACCATGTTGCAGGGTTCTTGGGAGAATTAAATTGGATAGCTTTTGGAAAGCCACAGAAATTAAACATCTTCATTAAAATATTTTTTTCTTACTCTTTTAATACTTTTATTTACTTTGAGTCACTATCTCTAAATTTTTGGAAGTGGAAAACAGTCAAAATAGATTAATTAGAAATATACACAATGCTCCCCTTTGCTTCAGCTTTTACCCTTTTTGATTAATATTTTTTGGATTCAAATGTCTAAATGTGGAATTATGATTGCTAGATGTTTTCAGAGTACACCAGGTCCTGATAGTGCGATATGAAGTTTGTGGAAGAATGAAAATGTTGGCAGTAAATCCTGACTTCTAGGAGAGTGGGTGAGCTAAGAAAAACCCAGTGTGAAGAATGACCCATTAACTTATTAGAAACTTGGGTACATGCTGCAGGGCAGGCCAGAACTGAAGGCATTGGACCATAATGTGGTTAGGTATTAAACTTTGAGTAGAGTGTGGAAGAGGGCTCCAGAGTGTGCTGCTGGAATGTATTAAATAAGCATCTGGCTTTTAACAAGTCACCATTATTAATTAATGGTCGATCTTTCCTTCATAGACTTTTCATGTTATTGGTCTTCCAACAATGCACTGGTATACTAAGGGCTCTCAAAGTTGGAAAGAAAATAATGGAAAACAGGAGAAAAGTACAACACTGATTTGCAATTAGTTGGGTCTTAGAGACAGAGCATCAACTTTTTCATTGCTGAAACGAATCTCTTTCCAAATTAGTTCTGGCACACTTTAAGGTACCCAGGCATTTTAAGAAAATATGTTTTATTTTACTTTCTTTTTTAATGCACATTAATGGCAGATGTTAGCCCATGTTTCTGTTCCAAAGTCTCTTTTAGAATATTTCTCTGCCTCTTGGAGTATTCTGCATAAGACCACACAAAACAAGCAGGAAGCCTACTTAGAACACAGACTAACAAACTACAGTTGATCCTTGAACAATGTGTGTTTGAGCTGAGCTGGTCCATTTATACATGGATTTTTTCCAACAAATGTATTTTCTCTTCCTTATAATTTTCTTTATAACCTCTTATTTTCTCTAGCTTACTTGGTTGTAAGAATACAATTATAATACATATAACATAAAATATGGTTATTGGTAAGGCTTCTGGGTCAAGAATAGATTATTAGTTGTTAAGTTTTGGGGAGTCAAGTTATATGCAGATTTTTGACTGCATGGGGATCTGCCTCCCTAAACCACATGTTATTCAAGAGTCAACTGTATTTAATTATTGTTAAAAATTAATTATAATTTGGCTATGAAACTTCAAATATTGTAGAACCTTTCTTTGTGTGTGTGTGTGTGAATCCTTACCCGAGGATATTTTTCCATCGATTTTCAGAGAGAGTGTAAGGGAAAGGGAGAGAGAAGGGAGAGAAAGAGAGAAACATCGATGTGAGAGACACACATCGACTGGTTGCCTCCTACATGCACCCCAAGGGCCCCTTCCATTTTTATTGAGTAGTTCTTGTGTGCATTTCAGAAGTTACTGCTCAGTCTTTTTGTGTGTGATCCATAATAATGGATGAAGCAGCACTACATTGATGGATATTAAAAGCGTCACCAGGTTTTTCTCCAGCTATATACACAGCCTAAAATGGTCTTGCATTCTCATGGCACATAAGTGCAAAGGGATAATTTTTTGTAAAAAAAAAAAATACAGATAAAGGAGACACATAAGTGCAAAGGGATAATTTTTTGTAAAAAAAAATACAGAGAAAGGAGTAGACAATCTTTGTAAGAAGACTCTGAATTAAAGCAATTTATTTTTTTCTCTATATCCACAGGGGCAACATAAGTAGGACAACTAGATACGCTGAGAAGAGTTGACAATGCCAAAGGCTGACATTTTCAGAGCAGAACAAGGTAGCAATCAATGTGAGGCACGTTCTGAGATGAAACAAATCAATATACGATACATATGCATTCAGCAAAAATATTTGGGGTGTCTCCCACAAGGGAGAGAAAGTTGATCATTGAATATTTTGAGTGGGACTCTGGTTGACTAGGTGGCCTGACATTTGTCTTTAGATGGGGAGAGGTCAAAGTCAATGCTTCTCAAAGAGTTTACAAAGGAAAACCCACAAGGGAGCTGAGCCCGTCATAGGCTAATAAAATAAATGTTGAACTGAACTGTTGATCTGGCCAGTAGCCAGAATAGCAGTAGCAGAGAGCTTTTCAGGTCAGGCTCAGACATGAAAAGCAGAGAAGCTGGGACTCTTGCAGCTTATCCACGTCCCAAAGGTCGACATCATAGGTTGGAGGTAGAAGAAAATCATATCCCAGAACAGTTCCTAGAGTTTTACTTCTAGATACTCATAGGCTTAGAAAAATCAGAGTTTAATTTTCTTGATTTCAGAAAAACAGAATTACTGATTAAACAAGACCATGGTTGTCCTACTTCTAGAAGTGACCAAATACTGGGAATGCTGTAAGGGCAACTCTGCAATGCAAATTGGTGCCATGGGTACCTTTTGCTCAGATGTCTGCTATAAAATGCCTGTGAATGTTTGTAAAATTGTACTATGGCTGTGTGTTTTGGGGGGTGAGGGGAGAAGTTTTCCTGGCTTCATGGGTGGAAATAATAACTCTTAGGTTCAGCATTGTCTGGATAATCATTTCTTATTATTCTCAAGTAAAATACATATTCTGCTACAACATCTCATTTCTTCACTGATGAACAGGTTCATTCATTCATTCATTCATTCATTCAACACTTCCTTCAACATTTAATCTTGGCAATCAGTGTCTAGCAGCCATGGTGGTTGCATGTACACCCACCGATTATATATTTATAACCGGTTACATTTACATCTATTGTTTCCCTGTGCCTGGATGTTTAATACCATTTAGACGGATATAGAATGTAAATATGGGGGCCAGTTATGGATGAAAGCTTTTCTTCTTAGGATGAAGGATTTTGGCAATGTAACAGCATCAATTATTTCTAAGAAAAACCACAATATAACAGGCTGTCTTCCAACAACGTGAACTGAAGAAAAGGATTTATTTATAGGTTACTAGCCCTTATGATATAGCTGGACAATTCATCTTTTCACAAAGAAATCTCAGGAGAACCTGCCTGATTTCTGGTCTCCTCACATCCACAGAGATAGGATCCATCCAACTTCATATTTACTTTGTAAAAGCCTCTCAGCCATGTATAACTTTTCTGGAGCATAAACCTCAAAATACTTTCCATGCCTCCAATGCAACATTAAACTCAAAGAAAACTTGAAAGCAGTGTCAAGGAAAAATAAAGAACTGTTTAAATTCTGCCTTTTTTTTTTTTCTAATTTGGAAAGCAGCAGTCCTTACTGGCTGAGACTAGAACTTGTCTTGCCTGGTGTAACAATAGCCTGTGTTTATTGTGGCTTATAATGTGCTAAATGCTTCACACAAGTTAAGTCATGTAATCCTCACAATAAGCCTAAGAGATTGACACTATTTCTTTCTTTATTTACAGATTAGGATCTAGAGGTGCAGTGGCTTCTAGATCCTAGAGTGGCCAAGGACTCAGTGCTAGCAAATGCAATTTTGAGGTATGATCTTCGACAGCCTAGCTCCAGGGTCTTGCTTTTGACCTCTACCCTAGGCTTCTAGGGGCAAATGTGCTAGTTCACTTCCTACTCTCATGTCTTGATTTATTTCCAGCCACGATTTACCTTGTTGAAAATGAAAAGCAAGTTAAAGTTAAAATGTCAGAACTAAAATGAGGCACAATGTTCTTATTACTTATTGGTTAAGAGCTCTAGTGTGTAAGTGCATTGCGGGGTTGGAATAGGGAGATGGGGAGGCAGAAAACAGAAAGCTATGTTGGCTAGTTGCCAGCCCAGAATATAATAATATAAATGTGAGCCCTCTAAATTTAATAAATAATAGGCCTGGCTCTTAGCTAATTGACTTATCTTAAAGTTTACCCTGGTGTT